ATGCGACCCCCCCAAAGCCCAGAGAAGGAGAGGAAGGGGGAACTGGAGGCACCCCCGCCAAAGCGCTGTAGAAACCGAAAACGTCCTAGCCCGAAATGCCCCGCCAGATTTTGCTTCCCACAAACCCCGCCCTCCCCCCGCCACTCCTCCCTCCACCCCTCCTTCCCAACTCCAAACCCCCGTCCCCATCCCTATTCCCTCCACCCCTCCATCCCCTCTTTTCTCAAATGCCCCTTCCCGAATCGAATCCAACCCCCCCTGCCTCCATCTCTCCTTCCCGCCCTCCCCCCTTTCCAGTTTTTCTTTCTGGATGGGCCTGGGCACTGGGCGTCGGGGCCAGTGAGGGAGGGAGGGGGGAGAGGGAGGGAGGGAGGATCGGAACGGAGGAGGGAGGAGGAGGAGGAGGAGGAGGAGGAGGAGGAGGAGGAGGAGGAGGAGGAGGGAGGAGGAGGAGGAGGAGGAGGAGGCGGAGGCGGAGGAGGACTAGGAGGAAGAGGAAGGGGAGGCGGAGGAGACTAGGAGGAAGAGGGGGAGGGAGGACTAGGAGAACCATGGGCGTCGGGGCCAGTGAGGGAGGGAGGGAGGCGAGGGAGGAGAGGGAGGGAGGGAGGGAGGATCGGAACGGAGGAGGGGGGAGGAGGAAGAGGGAGGAGGAGGAGGAGGAGGCGGAGGCGGAGGAGGACTAGGAGGAAGAGGAAGGGGAGGACTAGGAGGAAGAGGAGAGAGAATTTCGAAGGATTACCCATTGGACAACCACGACAACGCCGGGCCGATAAACCGATCAACCAATAAACCGATAAACCGAAACATCCGATATACCGATAAACTGATAAACCGATAAACTATTTCGGATAAACCGATAAACTGATAAACCGATAAACCGATAAACCGATAAACTGATAAACCGATAAACTGATAAACTGTGCTGAGATTCGGCACGCATGCGATGAGTCGGTTTAGTGGTTGATCGGTTTATCGGCAGATCGACCGATAAACCGATATAATCATATCGGTTTATCGGTCGATCTGCCGATAAACCGATCAACCGAAATAGTTTATCGGTTTATCGGTTTATCGGTTTATCGGTTTTATGTTCGTGTCCTGCGGCTGCAATCTATAATATATATATATATATATATATATATATTATATATATATATTATATATATCAAAAACAGCGTGTGAATTACGGTGAAGTTAGTTTCTGAAGTGGTTCTAAGTGTGGAAGTTGTGTTCTAATTCTTTGTTTGCGTATGTTAGTACTTCTCTCATTTTTGTAACATGATCGACCCATGAACCCGGAAACGAATATAGAACTGTAACACAAGGCAACGTTTTCAAAGCCACCTGATTGGGTGACCGGCAAATGCAATGCTGAAGGTATCGGTCTTGATGTACCCTGCCGAGGGCTGTGCTGTGCTGCGCCGTGCTGAATTGCGATGTGCCATGGCGCGACTGTGCTCTATAGCCTCGTCGATCGAGTCCCCCTTCGCATCCGAGTCCTGGCCGAACTGACCTGGATCTTAAGCTCGAGCTGCCTGAACACATAGTAGCTGCCCCAGAACTAATCGACAGGGGAACATGCCAGGAGGACGCGCCGCGAAACGTCCCAAAGGGATACGTGCCAGGGGACGTGCCATGGGGTCGCACGGCGGGAGGTGCCAAGGGGACGCGCTACGGAACGTGCCAATGGATGTGCCACGGGATGCACCAGGGGACGCGCCACGCGACGTGCCCGGGGGACTCGCCAAAGGACGCCCCGCGGAACGTGCCAAGGAACATGCCAAGTTGCAATGCTGACTGTATCGATATTGATGTACCGTGCCGAAATATGTGCTGTGCTATTGCGATGTGCCGTGGTGCGTTGTGCTCTATAGCCTCGTGGATCGAGTCCTCCTTTGCATCCGAGTCCTGACCGAACTGATCTAGATCTTAAGCTCGAGCTGCCTGAACACATAGTAGCTGCCCCAGAGCTAATGGACAGGGGAACATGCCAGGAGGACGCGCCGCGAAACGTCCCGAGGGACGCGCCAGGCGACGTGCCAGGGGACGTGCCATGGGGTCGCACTGTTAAGGCCCAGTAAAGCGACCGGCGTGCTGACCCCCCCCCTCCCTTCGCGACAGGAGGTGCGTCGCGCATTCGTCGCCCGTGCGCCGCCCGTGCGTCGGCCGCCGAAAAGGCCAGCCGTCGTCTCGAACGTGCACGTCGCCCTCGCAAGGGGGCAATTTGGTGAGTGCGTCGCCAGCGCGGCGGACACCCGTGGGGCGGATCGCACGCACGTCGCCCTCTCCACGGCCGCTGAAAAGGCCGGTCGCCTTCGGGAACATGATCGATCCACGAACCCGGAAAGGAATATAGAACTGTAACACATGGCAGCGTTTTCAAAGACACCTGATTGGGTGACGGGCAAATGCAATGCTGAGTGTATCGATCTTGATGTACCGTGACGAGGGCTGTGCTGTGCTGCGCCGTGCTGAATTGCGATGTGCCATGGTGCGATGTGCCATGGCGCGATGCGCCAGGCGACGTGCCAGGGGACGTGCCATGGGGTCGCACCGCGGGACGTGCCAAGGGGACGCGCTACGGAACGTGCTGGGGACAAGCGTTTCGCTCGAGACATCCTGTCAAAATCATCCGAATTCTTACGCGCGGGACGCGGCACGCGCGAGACATCCTCGGAATTCCTGCGAGCGGGACGTGAAAGCAAGCATTTCGCCTGAGACATCCTCTGAATTCTGGCCCCCCACGAGGCCCCCGCTCGAGACATCCCCCAATTTTGCAAAACCAGCGTTTCGCTCGAGACATCCTCAACAAATTATATACAAATTATGAAACATGATCGACCCACGAACCCGGAAAGGAATATAGAAATGTAAGGCATGGCAACGTTTCAAACACACCAGATTGGGCGACGGGCAAATGCAATGCTGAATGTATCGATCTTGATGTACTGTGCCGAGGGGACGTGCTGTGCTACGCCATGCTGAACTGCATGTGCCATGCCGCGATTGTGCTCTATATAGCGTTGTGGATCGAGTCCTCCCTGGCATCCGAGTCCTGGCCGAACTGATCTGGATCTTAAGCTCGAGCTGCCTGAGCAGATGGTAGCTGCCCCAGAACTAATCGACAGGGGGACATGCCAGGAGGACGCGCCGCGGAACGTCCCAAGGGACGCGCCATGCGACGTGCCAGGGGACGTGCCATGGGGACGCACCGCGGGACGTGCCAAGGGGACGCGCTACGGAACGTGCCAATGGACGTGCCAGGGGACGCGCCGCGCGACATGACGTGCCAGGTGGACTCGCCACGGAACGCGCCAAGGAACGTGCCAAGGTGCAATGTTGAGTGTATCGACCGTGATGTACCGTGCCGACGGCTGTGCTGTGCTGGGCCGTGCTGAACTGCGATGTGCCATGCCGCGATTGTGCTCTATATAGCGTTGTGGATCGAGTCCTCCCTGGCATCCGCACGCACCGCGGGACGTGCCAAGGGGACGCGCTACGGAACGTGCCAATGGACGTGCACCGCGCGACGTGCCAGGGGGACTCGCCACGGGACGCTCCGCGGAACGTGCCAGGCAACATGCCAGGCTGCAATGCTAAGGGTACCGATATTGATGTACCGTGCCGAGGGCTGCGCTGTGCCTGGGCGACCTGGACACGTGAAAACACGCGTTTCGCTCGAGACGTTCTCAGCACATCCTCATGCTAGACATCCGCCTGGGCAACCAGGGCACGTGCAAACAAGCGTCTCGATCGAGACTTCCTCGACACATCCTCATGCTAGACATCCGCCTGGGCGACCTGGACACGTGAAAACAAGCCTCTGGTTCGAGACATCCTCAACAAATCCTAATGCTAGACATCTGTCTGGGCAACCTGGAGGCGTGACACCAAGCGTCTCGCTCGAGACATCCTCAAGACCTGGGAACGTGAAAACAAGCATTTCACTTGAGAGATCCTCTGAATTCAAGTCCCCAGGAGAGGACAGTCTTTTACACAAAACAAGCGTTTCGCTCGAGACATCCTCAACGAATTCTGAAATTACACTACACCCGCGCTCCCAGGGCCACGATCCCTCGTAAATTACGCTACGTCAGCGCCCCCAGGGCCACGATCCCTCGTAAGGGCTCCTGGGCCCTCCTGGGTCTTCCTTGGACCTCTTGGGCCCTCCTGGACTCTCCTGGAGCCTCCTGGAGCTTCTCCTGGGCCCTCCTTGAGCCCCCCGGTGCCTCTTGGAGCCTCCTGGGTCCTCCTGGGCCCTCCTGGGCTCTCCTGGGCCCTCCTGGGCTCTCCTGGGCTCTCCTGGAGCCTCCTGGGCCCTCCTGGGCGAAGTCAAGGTCCGAAAACACATGGGACTTGCCACATTTCTGAAATTCGGTGCCACCCCTCACGCAGGTCGGCGGGGTCAGGATCCGAAAACACATGGGGTTTGCCACATTTCTGGAATTCCGTACCACCCCTCACGCAGATCGGCGGGGTCAGGATCCGAAAACACATGGGATTTGCCACATTTCTGGAATTCCGCGCCACCCCTCACGCAGATCGGCGGGGTCAGGGTCCAAAAACACAGGGGATTTGACACATTTCTGGTATTCCGTGCCACACCTCACGCAGATCGGGTGGGTCAGGGTCAAAAAACACATGGGATTTCTGCTATTTCCTAACTTATGCAACTTCAAGAATCCAAAACTCTGTTCCCAGCGCCGTTCCGGAGGCCGCGGTACCTCGTTATTTATTGAGCGAACGCGTTTACCTCGTTTTTAATCGTTTAAAGTCGATGTCGGAAAAAATGGGCTTCACCTGTGAAATATCGAGGTTTCCTTAAAGGCAATAAAATTCTTTACGCTTCGCGCATCCCCACCAGCCCATCTCACAGCAGCAACTCTCGCGAAACATGCCGACAGTCGTGTTTTTCAGGCGTGTGTCCGCTTGGCCCCGCATATCTCCCCTGTTCCTCCTTCCTCCCGCCTCCTTGTACATCCTCCTTGTGGGGGGAGTATTTTATTCGTCGACATCTGGGATGAGTGCTCTGGCCTGAGTGGATGGCTGGAGTCTTGCAAAAAGAAGGCTTCGATGGCTATACCACCGCTTCGAAAAGAATCCCGTCGCACGGAGGGCTGGACTCCGTAACTCGCAAAGCGCGTGCACAGGCAGGTGCTCGAGCGGCGTGGCTGGCTGTGCGGGGTGAGGGGTGGCGGCACTACAATGAAGAGGGATTCAAGCGCAGACTCCGTGACAGCCATCACGGTGCCCGATCTCTGCACACAACTATACGATGAATGGTATCTGTCAGAAGATAACTATAGTCCGAAGTCTGCTGCCGCCGCTTCGTCGGCCGAGAAGTCATGCTCTGGGGCGACCTCAGCTCCTAGACTCGGCGATTCAACCTCCCGATCGCCGTGTGAGTCTGTGGGTGCGGCCGACGGGCGAGCGTATCTAATGCTGATGACTGGTATCTGGACCGGTGCCGCGCGAGGCGGCGAGCTTGAACGAACAAAGAGGATGGGAAGAGAGAGGTCACGCGCGGCGGGGCCACGCGACAGAGGTAGCACAGGCGCCTTCAGTTCGTGATCATCAGGAGCTCCGTCTACTGAGCGAGCGCGTCGAGCCACGTCGACAGCTCCTCCTCGAGCCAGCCCGCTGGCATGACCCCCGTATGGATGATGGCCGAGCCCTCGCAGCGGAGGGCGGCGAGGATGTGTGGGCGCATGAGGGAGAGAAAACGCTCCTCGTGGTTTGAGTCGTTTGGGGTTTCTCGTCCTGGTCTGAGTCGTTCGGGCCCTTTTTCCTGGTGTGCGTCGTTCGGGCTCTTGGTGGTGTGAGTCGTTTGGGCTCCTCGTCCTGGTGTGAGTCGTTTGGGTTCCTCGCGGCGTGAGGCGTGCGGGCACCTCGTCCCCTTTTGGGGCGTCTTGGGGGCCTCTTGGCGGTCCCAGGGGCTTCTAGGAGTGTCTTGGGTGGGTTGGGGGAGCCTCTTCAGGCCTCATGGGAGCCTCGTGGAGGGCGTTCGGAATGCTTGGGGTCCTCTTGGCGGCCCCAGCGACTTCCAGAAGCGTCTTCGGTGCTTCGGGGGAGCCTCTCGGGGCCTCTTGGGGAGCTCTTCGGGGCATCTTGGGAGCCTCTTGAGGGCCTCCTTGGGGCCTCGTGAAACCATATTGGAGCCTCTTCCCGTCAGAAGAGGAAATGGAAGCCAAAAGCTTCGTGAAATGAATGATGTTGCCTTGAAGGACGAGGGGAGATCTCATGAGCGCTGCCCCCTCAGAAGGCGGAAGTGGGGCCCCAATCGTAGTAAAATCAATGAGTATGGCTCCCAAAAAGAGGAGAGGGTTTTTCTCCCTTCCCCCGTGTCATTGCGATACCTTCACGGTTTTCCTGGTGTGAGTCGTTCGGGCCCCCCCTCCTGGTGAGAGTCGTTGGGGCCCCTCCTCGATGTGTGAGTCGTTCGGCGAGGGGCCCGAACGAGTCACACAAGGAGGGGCCCGAACAACTCACCCCAGGGCGGGGGGCCCCAACTACTGACACCACGTGCATCCTGGTCGAGGACGTGCACACTCTGAGTTGCGTGATTCCTCAGATCTGTTCGAGGGGGCCGATCTTGGAGGCTGTTTCCCCTTCTGCTGCTTGCACCTCTCCCCCCGAAGCTGCCGCCTGGTGCCCGCGCCCGACTTAATGGGCGAACCTGCTTTTGAGGTGCAGCTCAGAGCTGCGAGCCTGAGCACGGTAGACACTTGTGCCGCGTGCGCACTGCAGAACTGGACAGGAAAGATCGCTGGATCGTCGACGCCGTCGTCCATTCAATCGTCGTCGTCGAAGCCGTCGTTGTCATCGTAAGCATGGTCGCGCCGTCGTCGGCGTCGTCGCCGCCGTCATCGTCTGAAAGTCGCCGTCGCATGTGTCGCTGAAGTCGATTACGTGTAGGACTCGAGGAGGACCGCCTTCTGTCTGCGCTCCCATCGCCTTCTCTCCCTCCTAGTAGGAGTAGGAGTAGAAGTGATGATTCTAGTAGTAGTAGGATTAGTTGGTGTGGTAGTAGGAGGAGTCGCAGTATGAGTAGTAGTAATAGTCGTAGTCGTAGTAGTAGGAGCAGGTATAGGTGTAGCAGATGGAGTGGTGACATGAGTACGTCGAGGTGTCGTAGTAGTAGTTCCAGATATAGTAGAAGTAGAAATCGTCGGAGTACCAGTAACAATACCAGTAGTAGTACACGTACACGTAGTAGTAGTAGTAGTAGCAGCAGCAGCAGCAGCAGAAGTAGTAGTAGTAGTAGTAGTAGTAATAGTAGTAGTAGTAGTAGTAGCAGCAGCAGCAGCAGCAGCAGTAGTAGTAGTAGTAGTAGTAGTAGTAGTAGTAGTAATCGTAGTAGTAGTAGTAGTAGTAGTAGTAGTAGTAGTAGTAGTAGTAGTAGGTAGTAGTCGTAGTAGTAGTAGTAGTGTAGTAGTAGTAGTAGTATTAGTAGTAGTAGTAGTCGTAGTCGTAGTAGTAGTAATAGTAGTAGTAGTCGAGTAGTAGTAGTCGTATGTAGTAGTCGTAGTAGTAGTCATAAAAAAACTGCTAGTAGTAGTAGTAGTAGTAGTAGTAGTAGTAGTAGTAGTAGTAGTAGTAGTAGTAGTAGTGGTAGTAGTTAGTAGTAGTAGTAGTAGTAGTAGTAGTAGTAGTAGTAGTATTAGTAGTTAGTGGTTAGCAGTTAGCAGTTATAGTAGTACGAGTAGTGGTAGTGGTAGTAGGAGAAGCAGTACGAGGAATAGCACTAGCAGTAGCAGTACCAGTAGCAGTAGCAGTAGCAGTCGTTCGGGATAATCGTGGTGTGAGTCGTTCGGGCCCCTCGTCCTGGTGTGAGTCGTTCGAGCAGTAGCAGTACCAGTAGCAGTAGCAGTAGCAGTCGTTTGGGCTAATCGTGGTGTGAGTCGTTCGGGCCCCTCGTCCTGGTGTGAGTCGTTCGGGCTCCTCGTGGGGCCTCTTGGGGGACTCTGGGAGCCTCTTGGGGCCTCTTGGGAGCCTCTTGGGAGCCTCTGGGGGGCCTCTTTGGGGCCTCTTGGGGCCTCTTGGGGCCTTTGGGGGGCCTCTTGGGGGCCTCTTGGCGGCCTCTTGGGACCGCTGGGGCGCCTCTGGGGGGCCTCTAGGACGCCTCTTGGGAGCCTCCTGGGAGCCTCTGGAGGCCATCTTGGGGCCTCTTGCGACCTCCTCGGAAGCGCCAATGAGAGCTGCCCCCTGAAAAGAACAAATGAGCCCAAAACCTTCGTAAAAGCAATGATTTTGCTATGAAGGACGATGAGCGCGGCCCCCTCAGAGCGCCAAAATGAGGCCAAAACCGTAGTAAAATCAATGATTTTGGCTTTCAAGAAGAGCAGAGGGGCCAAAGTGGTTCCCCCCGTCGGGGCCAGAATCCTCGTGAGGGTCGTCGTTTTTTGGCCCTTCCAGGAGTCAAAAAAGACCCCCCTGACCACGCTCGGCCCGCCCTCTCCAGGTCCAGGGGGAGGGGGTAGGGGGAGGGGTAAACCCCTCCCCGAAGGGGAAGAAGGGGGGTTGAGGACAGAGCGGGCTCTCTAAACCACTCACGCCCAAAGGGCTGGTGGGATTCCAAGAGCACGATCTGCGTGAGGGGTGGCGAAAAATGGCCTTCGTCCTCACAGTTGAAATCAGCCGGCCCCCTTCGACCTCGTAATCCCACCAGCCCTTTGGGCGTGAGTGGTTTAGCGAGCTTTCTCTGTCCTACCCCCCAACCCCCCTTCTTCCCCTTCGGGGAAGGGTTTACCCCTCCCCCTACCCCCTCCCCCTGGGCCTGGAGAGGGCGGGCCGCGGGTGGTCAGGGGGGTCTTTTTCGACTCCTGGGAGGGCCAAAAAACGACGACCCTCACGAGGATTCTGGCCCCGACGGGGGGACCCCCCAAAAACCCTCTCCTCTTCTGTGAAGCCAAAATCATTGATTTTACTACGGTTTCGGCCCCATTTTGGCCTTCTGAGGGGGCAGCGCTCCTCTTCCTTGTTCTCAAAATCATTGATTTTACGAAGGTGTTGGGCTCATTTTGTCTTTCTCAGGGGGTAGCGCTCATATGCGCTTCTGAGGAGGTCGCAAGAGCCCCCCAAGAGGTCCCAAGATGCCCCCAGGAGGCTCCCAAGAGGCCTCCAAGAGGCCCCCAAGAGGCCCCCAAGAGGCCCCCAGAGGCCCCCAACAGGCTCCCAAGAGGCCCCCACGAGGCCCCCAAGAGGCTCCCAAGAGGCCGCCAAGAGCTCCCCAAGAGGCCCCCAAGAGGCCCCAAGAGGCCCCCAAGAGGCCCCCAAGAGGCCCCACGAGGAGCCCGAACGACTCACACCAGGACGAGGGGCCCGAACGACTCACACTACGAAGAGCCCGAACGACTCACACCACAAGGAGGGGCCCGAACGACTCATACCAGGACGAGGCGCCCGACCGACTCACACCACGAGGAGCCCGAGCGACTCACACCACGACGCGGGCCTCTAACGACTCACACCACGAGGAGCCCGAATGAGTCACACCAGGAGGAGGGGCAGCGCTCATACAAGCCCCCCAAGAGGGCCCCCAGAGGTCCACCAGATGGCCCCAAGAGGTCCCCAGATGGCCCACAGGAGGTCCCCAGGAGGCACCCCGAGGCCTCCATGAGGCCCCCAAGATAACCCCAAGAGGTCCCCAAGAGGCCCCCAGAGGCGCCGAAGACGCCCCAAGAGACCTCCGAGCGGCTTCCAAAAGACATCTACTACTACTTCTTCTCCTACGATAACTGCTACTTTAACTACTACTACGACTCTTACTCGTTTGACTACATCATCTCGTACTACTACAACTACAACTACTCTTACGACGACTACCAGATCTACTCGTACTACTATGAGTCCTACTACTACTAGAACTACTACCTCTACTACTACTACTACTACTACTACTACTACTACTACTACTACTACTACTACCACCACCACTATTACTACTACTAGTGCTACTACTACTTCTTCTTCTTCTTCTACTACTACTACTACTACTACTACCACTACCACTACTTATTACTACTACCACAACTTCCATATAGACTACTGCTCCAGTGGCTGCCTCTGCTACTCAGGCAACTAGTGCGACGACGACGTTGACGACTACGTTTGCTACTACCGCTGATACGGGAAATACCACTACTACTACGACTACTACTACTACTACTACTACTACTACTACTACTACTACTACTACTACGACTACTACTACTACTCCTACTACTACTAGTACTACTACTACTACTACTACTACTACTACTACTACTACTACTACTACTACTACTACTACTACTACTACTACTACTACTACTACTACTACTACTACTACTACTACTACTACTACTAGTACTACTACTACTACTACTACTACTACTACTACTACTACTACTACTACTACTACTACTACTACTACTACTACTACTACTACTACTACTACTACTACTACTACTACTACTACTACTGCTACTACTACTACTTACTACTGACTACTACTATTACTACTACTATACTACTACTACTTACTACTACTTCTACTACTTCTACTACTACGACTACTACTACTACTCCTACTACTACTACTACTACCACTACCTACTACCACTACCAGTACTACAACTGATCCTACTACTACTACCTACTACTACTACCACTACTACCACTACCAGTACTACTACCACTACCACTACCACTACCACTACCACTACCACTACCAGTACTACCAGTACTACTACTACTACTACTACCACTACCAGTACTACCAGTACTACTACCAGTACTACTACCACTACCAGTACTACTACTACCAGTACTCTACCAGTACTACTTCTACTACTGCGACTAGGAGTCGAAGAGGAGGAAGAGAAGGAGGGAGAGAAGGCGATGGGAGGCAAGACAGAAGGCGACAGGATTTCAATTCGACAGGG